GGTCCGTTCGGTCCTTGTCCTCCTCCATTCGGTCCGTTCGGTCCTTGTCCTCCTCCATTCGGTCCATTTGGTCCTTGTCCTCCAGCGTTTGGCCCATTAGGACCGGTCGGCCCACTGGGTCCGTTTGGCCCATTAGGTCCTTGTCCTAGAGAAAATATTTCACCTTGGTGTCAACAACAGAGGACTCATTACATCTAGGTAAGACATGCATGTTGGTGGTGTTTGTGCTACTATAATACAGTCCTAATAAAACCGTGCATTTTGTGCAACTAACTACAAGTGCAAAAATTTTATACATTAAAAAATATGTGGCAATCACCGTTATCCTTCTTTCTTTTTTCGACCAGCCTTACCTCCATTCGGTCCATTCGGTCCATTCGGTCCGTTAGGGCCGTTTGGTCCATTCGGTCCGTTAGGACCGTTTGGTCCATTTGGTCCATTAGGGCCGTTTGGTCCACTTGGTCCATTGGGGCCGTTTGGACCCTGGCCCCCGTAGATTGGGCCTGTAGGTCCCTGTCCTCCATAAATTGGTCCAGTTGGTCCTTGGCCTCCTGTAGAAGATTGTATTTGTAAAATATTATTTTTAAAATGGACATAAATACATTTTCAACCGAAGCTTATGTCTGTACCATAAATAGGTCCGCTTGGCCCCTGTCCTCCGTAGATCGGTCCGGTAGGTCCCTGGCCGTTGTCAATGGGGCCAGTTGGTCCCTGCCCTCCGTAGATAGGTCCTGTTGGTGGCCTCGGAGGCCTCTGGCTTGGCGGGTTGTAGCCTGCATCTGGGCCTCCCCAGCCGCCGTCACCTCCAGGCTGGCCGCCTGGGTAACCTCCGGGCTGTCCACCAGGGTACCCTCCGGGCTGACCGCCAGGGTATCCGCCGGGTTGTCCTCCAGGCTGTGCGCCAGGGTAACCGCCTGGCTGTCCTCCAGGCTGTCCCCCGGTGGCACAATCGGAGCGCTTGACGGCCCAGGGGTGGTTGCAGGCGGTGATATCTGGGTCCCACACGGTGCCCTCACCACAAGCAAACTCGTACTTGATAAGGCCAGAGCCACCCTCTGCGCAACGGTAGAACTTTTTGCAGTCACCGGGCACGCCAAAGAAGCCCTCCTTGTCGCAGTTGCCGCTGCCGATCTCGCCCGGCGGCTGTGGCGGCTGCTCGGGCTGCTGCGGGTAGGTCGGCGGCTGCTCGGGCTCCTGCGGGTACTGGATGGGCCCGCTGGGCACCTCGTTGTTGAGGTCGCCGCCCTCCTGGCCGCCGCACTGGGGCCTGCCGCTGGCCGCGGGGTGGTTGCAGATGTTGTTGGTCGGGTCGAACACGGTCCCCTCGCCGCACTGGAAGCTGAAGGCCGTCAGCCCGGAGCCGGAGCCGAAGTCGACGCAGCGGTAGAAGGTGCGACAGTCGCTCTCGTCCGGGAAGTAGCCCTCGCGCTTGCACTGGAAGGTACGGCGCCGCGGCCGCGCCAGGAAGCCGTCCTCGCCGCCGCCCGCGTGCCCGCCGAAGTAGTCCTCGTCTGTGAGACAGAGGAGGAGACAAGGGCGTAAGCAAGGTGGGATGGTCGGTCGTAGGTCACTTGGATTCGCGCAGACGAGATGCAGGTGTGTGTGTGTGTATTTTTTATTTCCGTTTTATCGCTTCCGCGACGCATTGTAGTCGGCAGTTAGTGCGCGCTTCCGGTCGCTCTCGCACGGCCCTAATGAAACATGGCGCTGTGTCTGCCTTTTATCATACGGCGCTCGGATAACATCGAACGTCGCCCCCCTCCTCCTCACCTACCTCCCTCCCCTCCCTCTTGCATCAAACAAAACGCCATTCTTTTGTTTCCTACATGGTGCCTGTTATTGAATACTATCATGCAAAGTTATAACCAAAACAGACCGCTTCGTTTCTGTTCCTTTCCCTATATTTTCGCCGGGGTCGTGTCGGAGAGAGAGAGATAAAAAGAGGAAAAGGGGGGGGGGCTATATTTGCGTGATGAGTGAGGAGTGGGGAGTATGGGATCGCCCAGAATGTACGTTCGTTTTTCTCAGATTCGTTCGACAAAATTGTGTGAGCTCGGCGCCTGTGACACTCGGGGTAGGCCACCCCGCAATACACGCGTGCACTGCGAGCAATATATTGCCTACCTACCAGGCGCTATATGAGATCCTGCAGAGGCTCAACTTCGTGTGGCAGGCTCGAGACAGAATGACGGACGTACTGATGAGTATGGATAATCCCCATCCCGCAGGGACTCATATTTTGTCAGAGACCCACGACTCACTAGTGGAGCACACCGAGCCCCTGAACGTCGTGCTGCAGGTAAGGTTAAGGTGGCGCCTCTGGTCTTGGCCCCACTTGGCCCCACTCTTGAACCCCGCCTCCCCCCTCTCCCCCTCGTGCCCACGTGGCACGAGTCATTCCCCCGCCATAAATATGCATGACGGGCTCGCGGCGAATGTGCGGCGCAAATCATAGTGCAGAGCGGGAGAGAGAGAGAGAGAGAGAGAGAGAGAGAGAGAGAGAGATGAGGCCAGGCGATTATAGAGATGAGTGATTTGAGCGCCACACCCGCTTTTGTCTCTGCCCGTTACATTTCGCCCAATTGATTTGATTGGTGAAATGGCGCCATATATAGGGCCGCTCCCCTCCTGCTCGGCGCAATTTTATTATTATTTTATTTTTGCCGGCGCGGCTAACAAACGGCAAACAAAGGCACACTTTTTTATGCAAAATGTTTTTGTCTTATTTCGGAAGGGGGTATACAGTATAGCGTTGTTGTGTATACTTACAGCTTGCGCTGGCCTGCCACGCTTGCGCGGCCAGCACCGCGACAAGCAGCCACCAGCCCCCCATGGCTGCGCTCCGCCCCTGCAACAAAAAATAAAAAAAACGAACAAGGTTAAAAAACGAAAAGGTTAGGACACGAACGAAACGTGGCACCGTAGAGAATATTTTTATTTTAGCGCGTGTAGCGCGCGCTTGTTTATCTGGACGCGCACGCCGCGTCGCTGAGGCCGCCGCACGGGAGCCGCCACTGGTCAGGGGTGACGCCGCGCGCCGCGCCACGCCGAGCCGCTTCACTAACGACGTCCCATTACAATCACTTGGAAACGATTTGCAGGTGCGATTGTACCCACTCCAGTCAGGAAATTTTTATTTAGTTTTCCTGTCTCGACCGTTCTTGTGTCAGATATCGAAAACTTTCAGGGAACAATGTAAATCGCTATAAATACGACAGTCTTCGAACATGTTTCACCCATTTTTTTAAATAACAGGCGAAGGTTTCTGACCTCCGACCGAATATGAGGTGGACAACCAGGTGATGTGGTTTGGTGGCACCGTTTCTTAATGGGGGGACGCAGTGATGGTATCATATTTCTGCTGAAAACGCACATCAGAAAACAGGCGGGAAATGTGCCGATTGAGCGGAAAGGGCAAACGAAACAGAACGTTCGCTGCTTTTCTGCGTGGATGCAGTGTGCCCCATGAAAGAATCTCAATCTCGACGGACTCGAGATACGGTAACGCGACACACGACCTAATGCCGCCTTCCTAACGCCGTAATAAGTCATACAGGAGGCGATAGACATGTCCATACAAGCTGTCATCTCATCGCCGCATCTCCCGGAAGGTAGTGGAGTCGTGCGCGTGCAGCTGGCGATATATACGGCCATCTGTAGCCATCTGGGGCCGCGACCGGAACGGTATGCATAGCATGGCGGGGCGGGGCGGGGCGGGGCGGGGCACTCCAGAGCGCACCCACCCACAGTTGGTATCGGGAAACACCCGTCCGAGATATTCACCTCTCTCCAACTACATGACACACTCACGCCATATTGCGATCGATCTCGGTCGCTGGGAATAACGTGACCGACAGTTTTGTTTTTCGGGCCGCGAAGCTGTTATTTCTTCCAGAGCGTGTTGTTGTTGTTGTTGTTGTTGTTATTGTTATTATTTGCCCGCGACAACCGAACAGCCGATCGCTTTGGGGTCCCGCGCGATGCGCACAGTTTTTCTGGATTTGAATATGAGAGCGGTCGCGGCCCGCTTTGCTTGCGTCGGCAGAGTCTTCCCGTCTTTCTCTCTCGCGCGCGCCGTTGTTCGGCTGACGCGCCGCCGCTCTGACCGGTAAGTGGATAAGGGTGTACGTCGCGTCGCTTGGGTGGAGCCTGGGCGGAGCCGTATGGGATTAGCATGTTCCTCTCCGCGTGTCTCGTTCATCAGCGCGGGAAAAATAAGAGAGAGAGAGAGAGAGAGAGAGAGAGAGAGAGAGAGAGAGAGAGAG